GTAAAATTTGCCTCACATCACATTCGTAATGATAGCCCGGATGCTTTTAATTGAAATTAACTGCAATTACACACACTACTGATATAATGTTTAATATTCTTTTAAAGTTAATTGCAGTAAATACAAGAGTTGCTCTGACGCTTCTCCATATCCTAAGGCGTGCGTATATATAATTTTAAAAAATCTTCCGTTATTTGTGGTCGTACTTATCGATCGAAGCAATCGTTTCGGGGATCGTCGTAGTATTATAGTATTATATAGTAATTTGTGAAATTTTTCCTCGTTTCGTTTCTGCCTAAGGCTAACTGTACATGCGCTTCTAGGGTGCTTTCTTAATTTATTCAACTTCAACAATAATATTAACGATTGCTAAATCGATAAATGTTGACACTATTGGCTATAAATACATCGACTAAAATCGAAAATTATATGCTAATCATATATATATTTGCACTCTGTTGCATGTTCTCTGGCAAACGTAATTGCAAATCTAGGACTTACCAATCGATGGTACACAACAACAACAAGAAAAAAAAAAAAAAAAAGAAACGAAGCAAAATTCGTCTTTAACCAAACGTTGTAAGTATATTTACTCACACAACAGATATACACAAGCATATTTTTATCGATAGAGAAATAAACGATCAGATTTTTTTTTTATAAGCTTAACATGCTCTCTTCGAGAGATGCTCATAGATTGCAATTTCAATGACGGATGCAGTGATGTATCCTGTTAAAGTCTATCGTATCCTTTTTTATGTGGTTGTATATTTATATACGTGTGTATGTGTAAGCTTATAAATGAGGATGCTATCTGTGAATTCATATGAATGAATGAATGTTGTACGTGCGCAATACTTTTTGTTTTTTGTGGTGAATAATTTTAATATAAAACTTGTCTTTTTATTTTTACGTCCGAAATTTTATTAAAATCGTTGGATATTTTTTTTATTTTTTTATTTTACTTTCTCCCTTTCTCTCTCTTTTTCTCTCTCGGTTTATTCAACACAAACAGTTTATGGCAGTTAAAGGCTTTTAGGAGTCATCGTTATATGCCAAATATATGACACAATTGTCGGAAAGCCAGTCATGCAGGTACTTTTTTGTTACATATATATATATATATATATAACAAACGCTTACGACACTCGTATTTATAGATATTTACTTTGCATGTGTATTTTTGTACAAATTTCGTATAGGGTATATACAATATACACGCATGTGGGTATGCATGTGTGTATAAGTTTATATGAATGGCGGCGAACGTTACATTCATGTTCACCATTGAGGCGTAAAATTAATTTGTTGCAGCATGACGAAAATGATATGTATTCATTGGTGTACGTGTGAATGTTCGTATTTATTTGTATATATATATATATATATATATATATATGAATATATATGTATACGTACGTTTGCGAATACAATTTATGTCGTTATATGACAATGATATTAAGTAAGATGCACATATTTATATCAATGTGTTTATAAGGAAAGGTATTTAGTAAATAAATTATATTCAAAACGAAAATTTAATTTTAATTAATTTAAAGTGCTAAAGAGGAACAAAAGTACAGCGATATACGAATCATTTCACATACGCCACTTATATTCTTGAAATGGGAAATTTTCAGAAAAAACCTACTTTAGGTTTCATAAAATATAGTCATCAATTTATTGTTTTGGGCGCAGGGTTGCAATTTTTCCTATTCTCCCATATACTTTAATTCAAAAGTATTTACTTTTCACTAAAAATTCCTCCGCATATCGATTAAAAACACTTATGCATCAGTAGTATGGCAGGAAACACGTCTACTAAATCGATATTCACGGGTTCAGATTTCGACAGTGGTAGAGTTTTCTTTAGTCGTAGCTACAACTTTTTATATTAGCGTATCCTACACTATTATTTTTTTTTTTTAGTTTAATATGACTAACCACATGGAGGATGTATCCTACGCGTACAATACGGTGATAGTCATCAAGGTGTGAAGAAAGAGAGAAAGAAATAGCAAGTGGTCGCAGAGTACAGCATATGTCCCCAATTGATAAAGGTTATGTCTTCAAAGACGGACCAAACGATAACAAAAGGTTTCCAAGCTAAGCAAAGCGTATTAAAGCTTTTGCGGATTCGAAGGCGTTCGAAACAAATGTAAGTGGCATAAAACTCTCCGAAGTCTGTTGAAGCACGAAAAAATACAAAGCACAATGCCAGATTGGTGACAGTCGAAGCTAACGAAAATTAAAGCAAGCAATAAGTGCGGGATTTAATTTTACGCTTAATAAGGACTCCTTATTCCCAAATCCAAAGGAAAGGATTTATTTATTATTGTCTATCTAGGTTTTTTCTATATATCAACTTAAGCCGCAGCTTCAAATCCAGCTGAATTAATCAATGAAGCGAAAGTTAAAGTTTGCCGCTTAAACTAGGAAATTGGAACAAATAAAGAATACATAAAATGTTGTTATATAAAATAAAAAAAAGTTTAAAAATAGAAAACCATTTATGTAGGGAGAAGTTGAAATGTTATATATAGACAAGGTCGATTATTCAATACCTTACCCTACAATTTTCCTTGGTTGCCTTAAAAAATCTTCATTTTCTTGAGAACTTTTATTTGGATCGTGATCCGAAATATAGGCCAGCGTGGTCCAAGTATAGCACAGTAAGTTCTGCTATGCCAAAACACGTTTCTGAATAATTGTGCTGTCGCATTGCCGAGTAGACAAAAGTCGTAATTGCCAGGGCGGTATCAAGGGTTAGGTCAAATCTAAGAACAACCGCCCGATCGCACTTCATGATAGCTAAAATGAGTGCTCAGTCACTGTAATACTTATCTGCTAGAGAACAGCACGCAACCCGCTGTGTTGCGGGCACTCTCTATCTCTTTCTCTCTTTCGCCACAATTGCGGGACATATTCGAGAGATTTGGCATATGAAGAGAAGATAATCATAAAAAGCTGTGTCAATACGCATGAATAACCGAGTAAGCAAGAGATTCGGACTAACAGCTCAATGGCCGTGAGTTCAAATTTCAAATCCAGTAGAGTTTTCAATACAGACGAGCAGATGCTCTAAGTTATATGGCAGGTGCACTTTGCCCATTTATTTACAAAATAAATGGACGATAAATAAATAAGTAGAGCCTTGTGACCAAGTACATATATGAAGAGTTGTTTTTGTAAGCCTTTAAATGGAAACAGGTTCATTCAGCATTGGTTTCCATTTCGTTTGTCAAGAAATATGGAAAATTTTCATCCTATAGCGATATATTTTCTAATAGATACATGCTTAGCATAGGGTACAATAGAAATAAAAAAGAAAAATTTAAAAATGGAAAAAAAAACATACATAAAATATCTCTAGTGCGAGTGTATACTGACATCCCTTGTGCACAGAAACTAAGAGTGTAACATTAAATCGTGACAAACATTGCAACTGATCATTGCAACCATATTTAATTTATTAACAGGTCATAAATCGGCATTGAAGTTGAAAATATTCATTTTAGTTTATACACATTGATAAAACTCCATTACTAAAACGAGCGATATAATATATATATATAACGAATGAAGGATTAGATTATAGATACAGTTCAAAGTAAACTCTAAAATGATCAAATGACTTATAACCGACTTAGTTCTATAGGTATGCTTATGAAATAAACGCACCGCTTCACTTTTTAGAAAACCTTTTTTACATAAATAACATGCAGTTACTTTCCCGTCCATCATAAAAAAATTTTAACAAAAGTTACAATCTTTTTGCAAGGGTATGACAATAATATTACCCCTTGTTGAAGCAAGGGCGCCTACAAAGCGCTTTGTTTATACAAATATAAGAAAATGCAAGTTTGCTTTATTAAACTTTGCAGCCAACAAATCCATTCAGTAATTTTATTAGAAATCTAATTAAAAGTTTTTGTAGTGAGCTGGGGTCATCATTAAATACCCTACACTACTTTGCTTGATACTGTTATTTGTATAACGGTACTTTCCACAATAAAGCATTGCAGCGGCAGTGATCGAAAAAGCGATCCGATATAAAGCATTTTCAAGAGCTTCCGTCAGACCGATAGATAAACTTAGACTCACTTTCTGATTCGATCGGTATTAAAATACTGTGTGACCGAAAAGCAAGGCCAACGCTCAAGTTAAATTGCGCGGGCACGTCAAATATCAGAAATATTTTTTCCTAAATTGGTAGCACTGTGACGGACATTTGTATCCAATTTCATATCATAAATGTCACTAGCGTTCCCAAGCTAGGCTTAGTTGTGTGCGACACACAAAAATCAAGGTGATGTTAACGGTTTTCTTCGATTATTGCGATGTTGTGTGTTATGAATTCCTTCCGTCGGGCCAAACTGTTAACAAGGTATACCACTTGAGCTTGAGGATTACTTTAAAGGCGACGAAATCGATTTGAAATAATAAATAAATTTAGAAAAGACGAAAAGATAGATTAAAAGTAAAACAGTATCCTTATGAAGAATCTACCATTAAAGTATGAAAAATAAGTAATTAATGAAGTAAAAACGCCTAAGCGAGTTAATTTCGTTAGTAAAAACAATTCGATTGAAGATCAAAGATTAGTAAAATAAGTCTAGATAGGATCATTTTCTGAGCCTTTGGGAAAGATTTTTAAATCATATAAGATAAACTTGGGAAAGTTACTACGAACTTATTTGCACTTTAGAAGGGAAAAAATTGACTCGGTTGGGCGAAGATGACCACGTTTCGGAGAAAGCTACCTAGGAAAGCTAAGTAGGAATTTTGTCAGTTCGGCAGCAACGTTTGAAAATTAACTCGACAGCATGGTGCACCTTTATCGCACAGTTTTCAAATTTATTAGAGAGAATACAATGCATATGTGTGCACATTTTTAATGATAATCATTTTTAAATATGCTTTCAATTAATTATCATTAAGATTTCGGATAAGAGGCTTTTCATCAAATCAAAGAAATAAATATGTTTGCAAAAACTTACTTTGTATGATCCTAAGTTTTTTACAGAACATCCCAATTTGACGTTTCGTCCAGCAGGTACGGTGACATTATCGATGTATTCGGTAAATTCGGGTTCTTCAATAATAGCTGAAATGAGACATGCGTTCATTAGCTTTCATTCAACTAAAAATATTTATCCCTTAAATTAGGAAAAGAAGTGTGAACGCAAACTATTATGTAGTTTGACAAACGGTTGCAAAAAAAATTTCTATCGATAATTTCAAGAACTACTATATAATTTTTTTTTTTAATTAATAAAAGCGAAAAAAAAGCAAGACACTTTAGTTTCAGTTGTAAAAATAAAAATATAATCATAAACTATAGTCATCTTAACCCTTGCATTTTTCTACACTTCTCTTACAAAAAATTTCTAACTTCGAAGCTGCGAATGCAACATTTTTAGATAGAAGGGTATATTCTACGACTGTGACTAATCACTAGTCAAAGACTTTTAGAGGAGGTCATAGAGAAACAATCCTTTGTGCTTTCCTCTTATGGTTTCTTTCGATTTTGATATTCTAAGGGAAGAGTCACAATAAAACACTACAATATTAGTATTGTTATAAAAGCATTTAATTCACTTAAGCCATAAACAAGAAAAATCTTCGTAACTTGTTATAGCTCCTATCTGATGTCGTCGCTAAGAACAATGCCTTAAGTGTTAACTTTAGTACAAAAGACCGAAACTCACAGTGACCTCAAATCAGTGAACTACATTTTATATCAAAATTTTATCTTTAGTTAGTTTTATATTAATTGCATGTTAAACTAATGCGGACATATGCAACATCCAGATCGTCTTGAGATAGATTTTCCTTTTATATTATCCAGATCGATGCAGAATCACTTTCAGACTCGATCTAATCTTGTCTGTCCATCGATCCCATTTTTCACCCACCGGTTTTGTTTCTTTGACCTACAGATCGAAATTTTTTACACATACACATAATACATTGACCTATCTTGGCCCAAGAATGAATGCTGATGAAAATGCCTTATATTACCTTATGTTGAAAAATCGCTATATAAATAACTATGTTCAGCGCGGTCGTGTAGAGTATTCTACGGTGGGCATTGTCTCCCTGCAGTGTATTTACTTGCTTTTATATATATACTTTTTTTTTATTTCATAATCAGGAAATTTTGTTTTATACTGCTTCCTTAATCAATACATGTATGTAGTGTAAGCTGCTTTCATGCATTTTTCATGGAAATTTCTATATTGAACAGCTCCCAAAACGCCAACTGACTTATCCGAAATTTAACATTTTTAAATTTCATTTGAAGGATTTCATTATTTTTCAAATATTTTTTTTTCAAATGCTACCAATTAGACTTTCGTTACCATACAAAGGCTTGCTTTTCATGCAAACCCTTATACGATATAAAATCCAAAAAAATAGGTCTAAGTAATCAAATATTCCTCCAATAGGCCAATTTTCGTCATAAAATACCATAAATTTAATCATGTTAAGGTTTATATCGTCATGGGAATTGCCACATTGGACGGGATCCAAAAAATAGGCCTACTTGGTGTAAACTCGTTATGATTCATTTCTACATCAAATTAATATTTTATACGAATTTTCATCACGAATTATCGAGTTAGAGAGTTTCTGGCATAGAAAGGGAGATTTTAAAAATTGCATTGTATTTGACAGAACGGATTTTCAAAACACAGCTTTGTACGGAGACAAGTGGAAAAAGTGGTTCAATCCAATAGGATTCTTCCTTGTTTCGAAACGCGCCAAAATACCTCAATAACTACGCCTACATTCAGGTTGCACACAAAGATACACGGTCCGATATTAGATGGACAAATAGCCAGACAAGTTTAGATTAATTCAAAAAATGATTCCTAAATCGATCGGTATAATAAGAAGTGCATCTGTCTTAAACATTTTCTCCTTTACAACTTAGACATGATAGAATTGTTAATAATATTGTAATTTTTGTAGTGTAGGATATTTAAACGCCGACTATGCCCGACTGCGAATGTTTCTATTTTATTTATTATTTTATTTACCTTACTATCCTTATAGCTTATAGTACTGTTTTCGAGAGGTATACACTTTTTTTTTTTTTGCAGGTTTTAAATATCCCTCCATAATTCCTACGAAAACGACGATATATATGTAGCAACAAATTTTAATTAATTCATCATGTATTTCCCTAACGCCCAAATCCATGCATTCGTAGGCATATAGCCGTCCACAATAGAAGAAAATTCGTCCCGATTTTTATTCTTACGCTTCTTAATTTGAAAAATGCTATACATATATATGTTGAGATATGCTTGTATTAAGACGTAGAGAGACATTTATGTTATATAGTATAAATGATGTTGTTAACCTAACCTAATATCAGTAGCATAAATCCATAATTAAATCCAATCAAATTTCAATTATTCAACCGATAAATTAACCTGCAATAAACCTACAGTATTTACCACAACATTAATTGACAAGAAAAAGTTTTTATAGTATCGTATCGAACATTCGTGTATGTATATGGATGGATGCATAGATGGATGAATGCGTAAATGGATGGATACATAGATGGATGGATGGGTGGATGGATGGATGGATGAACGAATACCTAAACACGTACGTATTTATATTTATCGTGAACATATTGCAAGTGCATGATAACCACATGTAAATATTTTGAAATATGCCTGAGACACATTGCACTTAAATAGATATATAGCCACATGCAATTATATATATTTTGGACTTAGGCGTTGTGTGTTCTAGTTGACATCATTGTTTCGATATTAATTTCAACATGTCGGTCTCGATAAGGTATGAAATATTTTTTAAAAAGAAATTTTTAAATGTTATATAATAGAAATTCTCATACATGAAATGGAAACTAATTTCATAAATATCTGCAAATATGCATCTGACGAGAAGAAAGCATTAATTGTGAATTTTAGTTTTAATTAGAACGTAGAGAAATTCCTTAATTTGGAAATGCTAATGAAATTGCAGGATTCTCTCTTAGGTATGGCTTTATGAGAGTTTGACGAAACATACCCATTATGCCGGGCGATGAAGGAATAGTAAAAGAGTTATACGTTTAACCAAATGAGTGATGTGTGTGTTTCTTACAGTAGCCAACACCTTACGTAACGTCTTTGTCAAATTTCATACTACTTGTTCTTCCTTTGTTTTTCGAGTCAGAACGATATACAAGATGGTGTTTCTTTTAAGATTTAATAATAATAATCACTCTCACTATAGCTATGACCAAGTATGAGATGTGAACATCAAGTTGGTGGTAGCGATTCTTATCCATTCGACTAATCATGGGGATTTACTTTGGAACGCATTGGAACATAATGATATGAGGTTCCATTGAAATAATCGCAAAGAACCAATGCAATGTGATATGTTATTTATCATGATGCAAAAAAAAAAAAAAAAAAAAAACCAATTCTGACGACGAGTAGCGTCAAGCTTAAAGCACATTATACTGATACAATATTTCTTGGTGGAAGAAACTCATCACACCACCACTACGATACGATAATTGCATAAAACTTAAACTTGTTACTCTTTGCTCACACTCACAATCTAAAGCCTTTTTAACTTTGCACGTCATTGTCGAAGCCCTGAATATAATCAGATGTTATCTACAAAATAATAAGACAAGTATATTCCATTTCTGTAACGGCGATGTGTAGAAAGCAGCAGAGGTTACCTTATCCGTTATGCATTCACTCTGTTTAAAACTGCAACTAACTTAACAACTGTTCTCGAAAATTGTTTGCCTGCACCGTTCATCCTCAATTATCGATCAAATCCTAAAGCGAACTGTTGATACGTTACCGATCCGTTCCAAACTCATTAGCTTTATTTAAAGCAAAAAATTTAAGCCTCTACACCAAATGCAATATTCATGTATTGCACACATTGATATTAGAGTTTACTGTGTTTTTATGACTGACACTATACATACATAAAGACTCTGTAAGCATTGCTGGCACATGCAAACACCCACATGCGTCTAATTATAGGAGCGTAGGATACAAAATACCGCACGTTGTCTGCATAATATCGTGCATATACTGTTGATATTTAAGTGAACCGCAATAGTCATTTGCAACATTGATGACATTGTTATAACCCAGAATGAATACAAAGGACGCATTTCAATGGGTTATATTAAGAGGTTATAATAGGAATATGTTACATGCATATGTAACAAATGCACATATTTACTATGAAAAGACGCGCAAATAAGTTTTTGCATAAAATCACTTGCACTCATGGGAAAAAGACAAAGCTATATGTGCTGTCACTAACGATTATGCAATTGAACCTCTGTTGTGCAGTCAAAACTGTGTTTATAATAAATAAATTTCTCAGTAAAAAATTGCTATTCCATGTTTTTTTTTTTTTTTTTTTTTGTTATACATTTGCCACCAGAACGCAAGGGGATATTAAATTTACCTTTACGTCCGTAATTCCAACAAAGGCAAATTAAATTCGAATTGTATTCCGTGTCTATCTATTCGATGGCCGCTAACATAGAATTTGTACTTTATAGATACGTATTGTACTGCTTTGTTGTGTCGCTCATATCTACGTTATACTCACACACATAGTTTTATTTATATTATCTCATATGTATACATATATATATACATTTTTATGGAAAACCTTACGTAAGAGTATAAATCCTTTTTTAGAATAAATTCGTTGCTCTTTTTTCGAATTGTTTTCCTCTTGCATGCATAACTATATTTCGATTAATGCAAATACATCCTTAGGTTATGATTTCTGTTAACATTAGCTCTGCATTGCATGGAGTAGCTATGCTTTCAATATTTCAATAAAATGTATATGAGAGTCATCTGATTTTCTCAATTATTAGTTCAAGTGCAAACTTTTATTTATTTACCGCAAGATAGAGGAAAAGCAAGCGAAAATTCGCTGAATTTTCTTATATTTGTTTGAATGAATTATAAAAAGTAAACGGAATTTGCACACATTTCATTACAAGCACTTTCTCATGCCAGGTATTCATTTTTTTTTTTTTTTGGAATTTTCTTTTCCCTCTGCGGGTGTGGCTTTCCTGGT